AGAAAGAAAATAAATGGTAACCCAATTAATTAAGATTTTTTTAGGAGAAGGGAAAAAATTAATTTAATCTCTAAGAAAACGACTATGCAAAATATTAAGAATATTTCAGTGACGGAGGAAGTTAAACAGTGACAAATCACGATTCAATTTAAACTGATCCAGATATGCATATGTGAAGAATAAATAAATCTTCCAATGAACTAGCAATCCATTCATAAGTGGGAAAATAGCTAAATAATCAAAACATGTATCCAAAAATTGTTACGATATACATCACATATCCAATAAATAATAAATATTGTTAGTTGACACTAATTTTTATTCCAAAAAGTTCACAAAAAGACTTCTGTTTGTTTGCCAATTTTTATTGATTTTATCAGAATTATATTTACGTAAGACTGTATGCAATTTAAGAGTTCCCAGTGGGAAATTTAACTGTACAGCTTTCGGTTTCACTTTTCATTCGTAGTTTCCATAAAATCAATATTCACTTCATCATAAAACGACACAATCCATCAAATAAGGTAAAGCGGAGTATTTTAATTGGGGATTTATTCCAAATTTGGCCTTGTCTTAAAGCAAGACGATTTGGTGGGCACTATTTCAAATTTTTATTGAAAAATTGACGGAATTAGAAAAATCAATCACAAAAGAAAACCTCCTAACACAAATTATAACAATATTGTATTATATGTTAAATAAGCTTTTAATTTTGGTATTGTTTAAGCAAAGGATTTGTTTTTGTTTTTGTTGGCAACGCTTTTTTTTATCGGCACTACGACATTCGGCTGGATGATAATTAATAGCCAGACAAAGCAAGCAAAGCAAATGGGTCGGAACATATTCTAGCAATAAACACTGATTAAGACATTTTAACGGCAAATATCTTGTAATTTAGGTCAAATTAATTCTTATGGCAGGCATGCCTAGTCTATGAATTAACTTGAAAACATATAATTTATAGGTCGTTCAGGATTCGGAGTGGTCAGATTTGAACAAAAAATTTATGAAAAGTTTTCTAAAACTGATAATAAAAATAAAAAGGAGAGAAATTGGTCGTCGCTTTTTGTATCATCTATCGTTGTTTTGACCTTTCAGAAACGTTTCGCCATCTAATATTTGGGTTTGGGGTGGTTAGGGAGGATAGGTTTAGAGATGATAATACTGTAACTATCAAATAGGGTAGCTGGACGAAATTGATCGCAAATCAAGACATAACGAAATATAAATGATAGTCATTATTTGATTGATTGGTTTATATAAGCTCAATTCTCAATCACCCACTCCGGTGCTGTGGTGGTCCGGGGTCAGACCTACGTCTTCCGTAACACCGCCAAAGTAAGGCCTATTAACAAGTACAAGTTTTTTCAGTTCCCTATGGATGCAATTTTAACCTAAACACCCTCAGTCGTAAATACATTCATTCATATTTAAACACCATTCACTCATTTACGGTGGTGAAGTTACATGTTTATAACTACGCATACACTAACTGGTCTAATGAAGGACTGTATAAAACACATGAGGAGATAACCACTCAAAAACCTGAGAAGTCCAGGGATGAGGTAATTACAAAGTTAGAAGGAAGATGGCAACAGTTAGTGGAACAATTGTTGATTAAATTTATTTACAAGTACTTAAAATTTTCATTGGATTTGCCATCAAAAAACGTTACGTAATTATTTTACGACCCGATAAATGGGGATTATCGTGATAAGGTCAGCATGATGTTGTTGACGAATGTTGATCAATTTACCAGGGAGACCAGTTGGACAAATTTTTCACCACATTACACTAAATAAAGGAATAAAATGTAAATAATGTTTTAAAAAATCATTACAAATTAAAAAACACATTCTGTTTGTTTACGTCCTTGGCATACAATCTTACAAGGAAGACGACTAGGTAGAAAGGGAACATATTTGGACCAAACATTTTTTTTTTTTTTTTTTTGGTCATTCTACACTCCAAAATATCGGACATGTCTTCGCCACTTCCTGTGAATCGGCCCTGGTTTCGGCCAAGAAAATTTTAAAGTTGGAATTCTCCGTTTTTATTTTTATTTCGCCTTTATACTTGTTCAAATCAACTGTGTGAGTATATCCTTTTAAACTATTGTTTGTTTAGATTGCAATAAAAATCCGGGAAAACTATCAAAGTTTATCAATAAAAGACAAATTTCTAAAAACCAAATATTTTTCAATAACGGTCATATTTTTTTCTTGTAAAACTAATATGAAATTTTGTTTTAGCATCTGTGGCTGTAGAGACCCATAAATATGATTTTTTGTTTGAATTTAAATTTATCGATTTTTTGACCCCTAAAATTTTTCCGATTTTTCAGAAGTCGTTATGGCTATATCTGATTGAAACTTATAATTCAAAAACGGCTAAAAGGAACGTCAAATAGAAAGAAGAGGAACCTAGCTTTTTTAACAACGTACCATTAAAATATATAAAATATTTCTATAAGAAAATAGATAAAATAGCAAATCTATTTGCCAGAAATTATTATTTTTTATTGGAAATAATAGTCCGATTTTGTTTGATATAGTCATAAAATGCATTTGACAATTTTTTTTAAACGAATTATCAACCATGAAAATAGCTTTTGAGAAAAATGATATTAGACCTTGCACTACGAACGAACATTAGTCAGGACGTCGAAATTATCAGTCAAAAAAATTAATTCCACCGATTTCCGAGAAAGTCAGTATTTTAGGGTTTTATAACGCGAGAATCACTTCAATAAGGTCAAATCCATGTTTTGACCATTTTCTGATCCACTTTTCTTATAGAATGTTCGTTAAAATATGCAAAAAAGCAGTATTTTGCTAATTTATCTTTTTAAAATCATACCAAATTAGAATACTCTGCGTCGCAGAACATTTTCGTTTTTATGTTAACCAGGGATGAAATTGAAACACCAAAAATAATATTTTTTAATATCTATTGGGTTGTCCGGAAAATAATGCAGGATTTTGGTATTAAACAAAAAAAAAGAAACTAGTTACTTTAAAGCAATGTTCTTTAATCAANTGACATTCATACAAATGAGTAATCCTGTAAACGTAAACAGAATATTTTATATAGATTTTTTTTAATGAAAACTTAAAATCCTGCATTATTTTCCGGACAACCCAATAAATAACGATTTATGCACATTGATTTGCGACTAAAATTAGCTTTTGAAAAAAAGCTTCATTAACCCGATTAGGTAAGAATTACCTAAGTCTACTTATAATTAACTCGATGTTATTGGAAAATCGGGGATATTTATGAAATCACTTATTCTCACTTGTCAATTTTTTTCTTTATTGATAAACTTTGATAGCTTTTACGATAATTTTATTGCAATTTACACGAAAAATACTGTAAAATGATACGTTCGCATAGCTGATGTGAGCAAGTAGAAAGGCGAAATGAAAATATTAAAAAACGTAAAATTTCAACTTTCAAACATTTTTGGGCGAAACCTGGGCCTATTCACAAAAAGCGAAGAATATGTGTCCAATATTTTATTTTTAAAAAATATATACATATATACGTGTGTGACCAATATTTTATCCAAAAAAAAGTCTGATCCAAATCCGTGACTCACCAACCTGGTCGCCCCACCTTATTTGTGTAAACAGCCTAAAAAAATTTTAACCTATTTATTGCTGTGAAATAAACAAATAAAGTTATTATAGTTTTGATAGTATTATGGTATTGACACATAGTTTTGAACAAAGTCTTTTTTACTTTTGTTTAAGAAGTTAGATATTTTATAATCACTCAAGACAAAAATCCTATAAGACAAAAATGTCGAAAACAAAAAACAACATGATTACAAAAACATAAAGGATAAAAAGAATAATTAATTGAAATAATTGAAATTGTCAATTTCACCACTAAACATAAATAGATAAAAGGTAAAGTTTAAAGTGAATCATGGATAAAAATAAGATAATAAAAGTAAGGATTATTTTCTTAAAATTTATCCCAGCGAGAAAATCTGTTCCCGACACCTCCCCGCGAAAATTAAAAAATCACCGCTAATAAATAATCGACAAAATGAACTGGAAAATTACAATACCAAAATATTACTGGGAATTAAACATTTTGTTTAAATATTCCACAAACAAATCAACAATTTTTTATCATTAAAAAGCACTTGTTAAAAAAGCACAAGCAAAGGTTCTTGATCAATCGATTTTCCAACACTAGAAGTAAACACTGGGAGATATTTAAAAACTTTTTCTACTTGCAAAAGATCGTCAAAAAAGAATAGAGGTCAACATAATAAATCAACAATATTAAAACGGCACAGATACAACCATTGAGCAAAATAATAATAATAATAATTACTCTAAATATAAATAAATAGGTTCATAAAAGTAGTGATTGAATATTAAGGCCTAATGTTTAAACAAATTCCTCATGACAAGTATGTAGTTTTTTCATAATCACAACCACCTGTATTTAAATGGTTTTTGGTATCAACTTCAGTTTGTTTTTATTTGTGTAATCAGCCAAAAAATATTGTTTATACAGCTTTTCTTTGTTAGTTTTAATAAAATAACAGTTAAAGAGACAAAGAAAAGTATCGATATGGCAAAGAACGCATTATTTTTTAATGTCGACACATTTATACGTTGAAATTAAACCTTAAACAGTGAGGTTTATTTGTAAATAAATAGAAAAACGACTCACCCTGAGAGAATATTTAAAAGCCAGGAGAATCAGGAAAAACCGACAAAGAGAGAACAAACAAAACCACCGCACTCCTTCTAATCAACTAAACAACTGAGAAGGTTACCGTACAAGGGAGGTTCTTAACTACTTCCTTATCTCAAGTGCCCATTAGGAAAGTTATATAAAAAAAAGTCAATTGACAGAACAAAAACTTTACATTTACATTCGCTAAAGATTTAATTTTAGAATTTTAAATATGATTTTTTTTTATTGCTGTAAGGTTTTTAACGACATTGCTTTAAAAAATCAAAATAAACAAAAGGTTTCAATCACTGTTATCCTTTATCTCATACTCTGACAGGATCGAGATAAATCCGATTTGCTTACATTTTCACTCGTTGTGATAGTTCGAATGGATAAGTTCATTTGAAAATGTTCGGCGTTGAAAGGCGACTCATATCCAGGGCTGTGGCCCCCAGGCGTTATTTGCACTATTCCGTTTTCGATGTGCTGGTCGTCGGGGGCGGTCACGCCGGGGTGGAGGCGGCTGCTGCGGCCGCGAGGATGGGATCAAACACAATCTTGATCACTCATAAAAAGAGTACAATCGGTAAGAAAAATGAATTTATTACGTAAAAGTACGATTTATATCTATAAATTCATTCACAGTTATAGTCACAAAAAGTATGTGAATCAATAAATTTAATTCAGCTGGAGAAAGTATGCACATGAATAAATATAGGAAGGTAGTTCGTATGTCCCATAACAGTTAAACCATCCTTTGCAACTAATGAATTTTCACTGGATGGGATGATGACAACCCAGCATGATTTATCCAACAATGCATGTAGGTGATGGTGATGATAACAATAATAATGTAAGACTAGGAACCAGAAATATAGACTCCAAGCACTGCATTTTTCTGGCTTGTTCTAGTTCCTTGGTTCAGTTCAAATGACCCAATTGTTCTCTTAAGAAGTAGAAGGTCATTGAATACCATTACATTTTTCCCAGGTCTACCGAATACTTTAAAATCACATTGTGAGTATAACCATCCTTTGCTACCAATGGATTCTCACTGGTTGAGTCACCCCTACATGATTTATCCAACAATGCATGATGATGATGATAAAAATAATAATGTAAGACTAGGAACCAGAAGTGTAGACTTCAAGCACTGCAGCTTTCTGGCTTATTCTAGTTTGTTAGTACAGTTCAATAACTTGATCGTTCTTTTAAGAAGTAGTAGGTCATTACTGACATTGCGATTCTCTACAATCTTCTGGCTTATTAAAGTTCCTTCATTCAGTATAATTCACCAAATCGTTCTTTTAAGAAGTCATTGATTGTCATTACCTTTTTCCCAGGTCTTTCGAATCACTATAAAGCCAGTTTGTGAGTAGAACCATCCTTTGCAACTAATGGATTCTCACAGGTTTGGATGATATCACTTCAGCACGATGTATCACACTATGGATGATGGTGATAAAAATAGTAATGGAAGACTAGGAAACGGAAGTTTTGTTTTCCCCAAGCACTGCAGCTTTAAGGCTTATCCTAGTTCCTTAGTTAAGTTCAATTGACTCGATCCTTCTCTTCAGAGGATCCTCTCTTCCTGTGTCTTCTTTGACCCTCCCCAAGCTCTGCAGATTGTCAGCTCATTGTACATTTTCTGGTTCCTTAGTTCATTTCAATGACTCAATTGAAGGTCATTGACTATCATTGGTGCAAATCTTTTTCCCTGGGTTTTCTGGGTCTCTTAAGCAGGTGTCCATTGAGCGATTACTTTGCATTTGAAGATAATATGGTAGCAGGTTATATTGTATAACGTACTAATTCATCATTGAGTATACCCATGTTTTGTAGTTGTTTTCTCACATGCCAGTGACCCATCACTACCACCATTAACCGGCCTGTTTCACGATACAGCATAGACTTGATACATAACTATATGCAAGTTGGTAACAAGGCCAGGCAATGCCTCAGCCTCATAGCGAATTGGCCGGGTGTGCAACGGTCTTAGATTAAGGAATGAAGAGATAATTTGGAGTGGAATTTGTGGTATCAGGTTTTGACTGGGTCAGTAACATAAGGAATTGGGACTTCTGAGCAGAGAAAATTACTAACAATGAAATGAGCATTGGAAATCATTCAGAGGATTTTTCACTGGAAGGGATTGGTTTAAGATTTGATTTTGAACCCAGCCTGTAAGTCTATATAGAAACTAGAAGAGCTTTGTAAAGTACTGTTTTGTTATGATAATAAGTATTGAACATAATATGTCTAGCATTTTTTTTAGTTGTCTTCTGCCTGTAGTTCAGTAGTGCCATTTTAAGTCAACCTTTTGTCTATTTACCATCCCAAGCAATTGACACAATCTACCATAGGAAGTAGAATTTAATTCAGATAAACATACAGGAGTTTTTTCATTCGAGGATAAAAGACAGATAATTGGGACTTGTTTTCATTTATTTTTATTTTCCATTTAGATATCCATACCTCAAAGCAGCTAAAAAAAGGAGGTGGTTTCAAAGGGATTGAAAAAGGATGATTTCAATATATTTTGATAAATTGACTTCTTTTGCATCATAGAAAACAATCATGCAGATTATTATCAGTAACGCTAATTTGCTCTTTGATAAAAACAGATAAATCAGAAACGTTTTTGTTTGTTAGGATTTGAGTGAAGGGGCAAACTTTTAGAAAGACAAACATCACATTGGCATTAATAGTTTGAGGTTCCGTAACTTTGGACCTCCAGATCAAAGTTCACTCCTCTTCAAACACACTTAACAAAGACTCTGAATAGTACACAGTTAATGTACACATCTATTGTGTTGCTAAATACAGTAATTTTATGAGTACCTCTGTAAAAACAAAACAGTGTGACTTATTTTAGCTTCATGTAAAAATAATAATTATAATGGGCACAAAGTACCATATGCTCTTCTATAGAAACTTTTAGTGAATTAGTTGACGTTATGGTCATAATTGCTATAGGAAAACCTTAACAAAGTCTGTAGTAATTAATTAATTAACCTTAGTAAAACATTTTTGGACCGATCCGGGCCAAATTTATTTTTCCCCCTACTAATTATTATATGTATACTAGTTTTATAACCCGGTGTTGCCCACAGGATAATAAAATAACTGACTTCAGTATTAGAAACATCGAAATTTTCACTCTGTCTGAAAGCTTTTGTTTGGAAGGATTGGATGCGTTGGATGTTGGACGGCTTGGCAGAGCCCCGCAGTTCTACTCTGTATGTCCAAAGGTCGCAGTGAAGTCTGGTAAAGCGTTAGCTCAGTTTTGACGGTCAAGGCAGATTCAAGTCCTAGAAGTCTTCGTAGTCGTCCGAGTCTTCTGTTGAGTTGTTGTCTCTTAAGTCCATATCAGTTAGCTGTCTAGGTACAGTCCTAAGTATTTGACTTGAATGGAAGTCTCTTTGTTGTGCAATGGAGGGCAAGGTTATTTTCTTAATGTAAACATACATTGAGTGCATTTATCTTCATTCAGTCTTGCCATCCACTTTTTGTACCAGTCTTTGATAAACTCCACGGTTTCTTGGATGTTGGAGGTAGCTTGGATATGGTTGAAGAAGAAAAAAATGTATCATCTGCATATGTGGTGATGACAGTATTGGGGTTATACATCGGTCAACAGTATAAATGTTGGGACCAAGAACCTTGTGGGACGCTGTCTTATAACTGACTTCCGAGAATTCATTGCCGCACCTCACTCTGAAGCAGTGGTCTGTAAGGTTGGATTTCAGGATAAAATAATGAGCGGGTAGGAAGCGTTTAAGTATATAAAGCATGCCCGGGTACCAGACCCCTATCACAAGCCTGTGTTACATCTAGGAACGCACCCAAGCAATACTTTTTATTCTCTAGAGCAACATCATATATAATATAATCAGGATTCGATTCTCAACGACTTATAAAGTGACCACGGGAAGCTTTTAGCAAAGTTCTTTAATTATTATATTAATCCACAAATGTTTAGCAGTCTTAATTGACCCTAACCATTTAATTTAAACTAACTGAGTCCGGTAAAACAATGTTTATTAATATTTTACATAATTTATAATTGTTTATACATACCTGTCACATAAAATCGATTTTTATAGTCTTTTTTTTATATGCACTAAATGAACGTTCGCTTGGGGCACTTTTCTCAACTCTGGCGGTTTGGCGGTCGTTCTCGTACCTCCACCACTGCTGCCTATAGTAAAGATACAACCGTGAAGTTTGTATATTCCCATCTTTACATCAGTAAAACCAATTCTGTGTTGTTTTTTTATTCTAATGTATCAGTAGTTTTCCAACTATAACCGATTCAGTAATTTTTGCGACTACTGAGTGTTGGCGTAGTTTTTGCGTCTACCGACCGTTATACCGCCTCCAAATCGGAATTTAAAAGACGCGGGAAACGTGTAATTATAGGAAATGGTGTGATTTTTTGTAAATCCCGACGCCCATTATTTTAGGTACATTTTATAGTCTCTAAACCCGCCCGGCATTAATAAAAACAAAGTGTGAAAGTTTAGTCGAAATCGGCTCAGTAGTTTTCGTTTTTATCGTTAACACACACACGGACATTAACTTGTATACACTGCTCCTAAAAAAAAATAGCTCACTTTGAAATTTTCATATTTGTTTATGTACTTGCTTTTTTAGTAACATTAACACCGTTATTTTTTTAATTCAGATATTTATTAAACGATTTGGTAAGTGGGAAAATAAAAATATCTCTCAAAAACAAATAACAAAAAGTTAAAATTAAAAAACAGAAAAATCACTTTTGTATATGAACATAAAACATAAAATTAAGGCATGCATGCTGGTTTGCATCCTACTTTAAAAGTTGAATGCTTAAAGTAAAATTAAAATAGGTGACTTAACATAGTTATAACAATTACTGTAGTTCCTCATGGTTCAGACTTAGGGCCATTTCTCTTTAATACCAGAAACAGAGTGGCAATAGGGGTATGTTCAAGGTCTTTATACATCTGAAAGCGAATTTGCGAGCCTCATAGACTCACAATTTTTATCGTAATAAAAGTACACTGTTCCTCAAGAAAAGTGGTGTACTTTTAAATTTTGATATTTTGAATGCACTTGCCATTTCAGTAATATCAACACAGATATTTTTTATAATTCAGGTATTTATTAAAACAATTGGTTAGTGTAAATAAAAATTTGTGTCTCTCTCTCTCTCTCTCTCTCTCTCTCTCTCTCTCTCTCTCTCTCTCTCTCTCTCTCTCTCNTCCACACTTTTATCTCTCTCTCTCTCTCACTCTCTCTCTCTCTCTCTCTCTCTCTCTCTCTCTCTCTCTCTCTCTCTCTCTCTCTCTCTCTCTCTCTCAGAGAGAAAAAAAAAATTGTGAATGAACATAAAACATTATAAAACAAATGTAACAATCTTCAATAGGGTGTATTACTTCCTCTTGCTCCTATTACACACTTCTCAGCATGCTCATAATTAAGGCTTTATCCACTTCTTGAGGAATTTCATCCCAAATCTCAATTAACCTAAGTTTCAGCTCAGGTAAGGCTGTAGGTGTTTTTTTTTTTTTTTTTTTTTTTTTTCATTTTACCAACGTCCAAGCTCGGCCCAAAGTACTCTAAGTGGTTCAAATCAGGAAACAGGCTGGTCCTCTTAGGATGTAAGTGTTGACATCTCAAAGGTCTGCATAACACTAGTGGTGACAGTTGGTCTTACATAAACAAAAATTGCTTGCCAATCAATGGAACAAATGGCACCAGATATTCCTCAAGAATTTCTGTATGTAGATTTCTGCATTAAGTAACGTCTGATTAAAAAAGTGTAACTCCGTTTTTTCCTCCAAAAAAATTCAACTCCACACCATAACTGTACCACCTCCGAACGACCCTCTTCCGGCAATGTTGCATTGACTGTAGAGCTTTACAGCTGCTCAATAAACTCAGACGTCCATCTGGTGAATGGAGAGAAAACTTGGGCTCGTCTGAAAACATAACTTTCATTACTGTTTCTGCCCAAGTCAGTGTCCCTTGCAACCTCTAAGCGGTCCCGGTGATGGTCTCTGGTAGCATTGGATTGCTGGCTTTATGGGATGTAGACTCACTTCTGCAAGCCTCGTGCTTACTGTTTCAGCGCTAATGACACATCAAGCACATTTCAAAGTCTTTTAAAGTAGGCCAACCATTTAAGATGTTGAAATGCGATGCCACTGTTTTGGGGTTGTCTGGATTCTTGTAGATTTTTGGACAGCCATTACTATCAGGGTAGTGAAGGATAGGAATCACTAGTGTACAGTAAGTACATAAGAGCGAGGTTAGTTCTTGACTAGTGAATATAACATACTTCTACATTTTTAATTTCTGGAGTCAGCAACAATTTTCTGAATCTTATGTTTTGCTGTTTGAAGGGAATGAAAATCTTGCATTGTATACATTTATTTGTAACAACCACCTAGATTTTCGGTAGTCCAGGGTCAGACCTTAGTCATGTATTTCCTACCACCAAGGTTGGGCTTCAGGGGCCATCAACAGCTAGGTCATTTTCAGCCCCCACAGCAATCAGTTTTTATGTCCAAACCCACTCACACTCTCATTAAAAATAAAATCAATCAAACTAGATTAAGTTAAAATAATAATATATAAATAAATAAAATTATCAGGAAATTAAATTATATTGTATCTCAATTTTTCAGGTGAAATGTCATGCAACCCCTCATTCGGTGGGATAGGCAAAGGCCATCTCATGAAGGAGGTAGACGCACTGGACGGCGTATGTGGTAGAATCTGTGATATATCAGGAATACAGTACAAAGTACGCATTTTCAAGCTTTTCAATCTAAGTAAATTTTTAAAACCTATCTTTTTTTCTTATTTTTTAAAGGTGTTGAACAAAAGAAAAGGTCCAGCAGTCTGGGGACCTCGTGCACAAATTGACCGAGATCTTTATAAACACCACATGCAGAAGGAGTTGTTCGAAAATACCCCAAACCTCCATATCGCGGAGGCATCCGTTGAAAACCTTCTATTAGAACAGCCTTATGGTGAACGCAGGAGCAATGCGACCAAAGCATGTGCCGGAGTTGTCATCCGTAAGCATTATAATTGCTATATTTTTATATTTTTCATACAGGCCTTAAATTTAAAGAAATAAATTTTTGTTTAACATATTTTTTAAAATAAAGTTAACCCTAAGCATGGACAACACAAATTGCTATGTCTTATTCTCATAGCCATATGTGCATCTCCCTATCATAGATATTTGTTACGCAGTTTACTCTATTCCAATTATTCACTGTTTGATAATTTTTCAATATTCAGAAGTGTAAATTTATTTAAATAATATTAATGGGTGGTGGTGAATTACTTAATTATTTATTTAACAAGATGAAAAGACAAAATGTGAGTGGGTCAAAATAAAAAATCATAAGTTAAACTGTTGAGGTCGAAATATAAGAAAACATTGTTACTATAAATGCTTGCCTTATAATTTTATTTATTATTTTACTAACATTTATATCATAAAATTGTATTAAATTCCATTACTGTACACTAAAAATTGAGTTATTTGTACACTGCCCTCAGTTGCTAAAATTAATTTGCTTTAATTAATTTAAATACTTTTGGTATACTATAATACGAATCGTTTATCTATATTGTTTGTTTTCTTGTACAGTAAAACGGAAAATTCTTTATGAACTATTGTTTTTTGTGACTAGTGTAAATATAAACATTTATACTATTTTAATTTTTTAGGTGGTGGCGCTGAAATATTTTCCCGCTCTGTCATCCTGACGACGGGAACATTTCTCCGAGGCCAAATCAACATAGGTCTTGACGTGACCCCTGCAGGGAGGCTCGGTGACGAACCGTCCATCGGACTGGCCGACACGTTAAAAAAACAGGGTTTCAATTTGGGAAGACTTAAAACTGGTACATAATGTTTTATAGATGTGTAAGTTGGACGTTTAAAACTTTTTCACTTGCTGTTAAACGAAAGCATTAACCAATAGTTTTAAAATTTTGTATATCATATAAAATAATAACTATAGTGAAAAATCTAGTAGTGGATATATTTATATGAACTGCAAGTATTACTAAACTTATAATATATGCAATAAAACATATTTATTAATAATAAAGGAGATTTTTTTTTTAATTATAAGTTATACTGAAAAATTATAATTTTCAGGTACCCCTCCGAGGCTAAATGGTAAAACGATAGATTATTCCGTTTGCGAAAAACATTATGGCGACAAGGAACCTGTCCCTTTTTCTTTCATGAACGATAAAGTTTGGATCAAGGTTTGTTAACTGTTACTAATTATTGTACAATCCTCTAAAATGTTGGTTTTAGCCTGAGGATCAGTCTATTTGTTATTTGACGCATACAAATCCTTGTATGAACAAAATAATTCTGGACAACATGCACCTGAACAGACACGTCAAAGAAGAAATAAATGGGCCTAGGTACTGTCCTTCGATCGAATCCAAAGTTCTACGGTAACTATCCTTACCATTTAACAATTATTGTGTTTAAATTTTAAAATTTGTTATTAAAAATTGTTATCTGACAGGTTTGGCGACAGATGTCACCAAGTCTGGTTAGAACCAGAAGGGTTAAATACGGATGTCGTATATCCCAACGGTTTATCTTGCACTTTACCCGAAGAACTTCAGGTCCAAATGGTCCGTACAATTAAAGGTTTGGAAAATGTTGAGGTGCTCAAATCAGGTAAGAAAATGATAATTATCATATAAAAACATATAAATATTTTTATTTATAAATAGGATACGGCGTTGAATATGATTATGTTGATCCACGCGAGCTCAATCCACATTTAGAAACAAAAAGGATCTCTGGGCTGTTTTTTGCCGGGCAGATCAACGGAACGACTGGCTACGAAGAAGCAGCAGCTCAGGGTATTCTAGCAGGAATCAATGCCGCTGCTTATGTATGTATTTTTATTTATCAATTATTATTATTCATTTATAAAGCTAATTTATATTTAATTTAGGCGAGGGATTGGGAAGGAATGACAATCAGCAGGTCTGAAGGGTATATAGGCGTTGTCGTCGATGACCTGACAACACTGGGCACTTCAGAACCTTATCGCATGTTCACTAGCAGGGCTGAGTTCCGTTTATCCCTGAGACCGGATAATGCTGATTTAAGGCTGACGTCCAAGGGTGAAAATTCATATTATTTTCTTACTAAATATCTTATTCATTTTTTAATTTTTTTATAATAAATTAGGCTTCCATGTTGGTTGTGTATCAAAAGAAAGGTACGAGAAAACAAAAAAATTCAAGGAAACATTAGAAGAGGCCATAGATGTTTGCAATTCTATTTCCGATTCGGTTCAAAACTGGAGGAACGTACTTAAGCTCTCACCCTCAACAAACAATGAAACAAAAACGTATTTAACCCTCTTTGTCCATTCCTTTTCTAATCATTTATAAATGAGAAAATCATTTTATAGCATTATGGAATTATTATCGCTCTCTTACGAAAACTTGACAGTTGAGAAGCTCGCAGAATCAGTTCCGGAGCTTAAAGAAATCGCAGAAAATTCCGAACTTTGTCGAAGGCTCAAAATTGAAGCATTGTACCAATGTGCAGTTGAAAAACAGCATGAAGAAGTAAGTAAAGGTGTTCTTATGTAAAATAAAAATAGTTTAATTTTTGCTAATTTTAGTCCTTTTTCTTTAAAAAATTGTTTTTATTGCTAAAAAAATATGACATTTAAAATTAATTTTAGTTTTTGAGGGGTTGGTTAAGGCCCTCATCACTGTAAGGTAAAGGTTTGAATCCAGTGGCCCTAAATTCGAACCCGATATACTTACATTTTTTTTTTCTTTTCTAAAAACACCAGACCCTAAGGGTACACATATCATCATAGGTGACCTACCTTCATATTTTAAAAAAATAAATAAAAAAAATAATATATATACAAATAACAAAATATTGTACTTACCTTAAAACAGGAAACAAGTAGAACAACAAAACACAAAGAAAAGTAAAAGCAAAATTATTAATCTGTTCATTTCAGGTGATGAGAATCAAACAGGACGAAGCAGTAGTTATACCGCCGCATATTGACTACACAACGTAAGTATCCAGTAAATCAATTTTTCTAATTTTTATTTTATTTTATTTTTAATTTAATTTTTTGTAGGAGTTCTTTGTCCATTTCAAACGAAGAACAGGAAAAACTTATGGCCGCAATGCCTCAGACAATCGCTGCGGCCAGCCGAATCCCGGGTGTGACGCCGTCGACTATACTGAGACTCTTATACTATATCAAACGAGGGTCGAACATAAAACAGGAAGCGAAAGTTGTTTCTCAAACATTATGATATTTATATTATGTTATGTATTCGTAAAAAAAAATCTATTGTGATATTTGCAATAACCAAATTTGGAGATTATGTGTTCTTTATTGTGTATAAAAAAGAAGTGTGAAATATAAAAAGGTATGTTTTTATTTTTTAACATAAATCAGCGTTTTGATTATAAGTGTTGAGTTTTATTTCAGATTAAATATATAAACGAAAATTGTGTTTTATTTTAAATTTGAGAACCTAAAAGTGACTTTTTTTAAATGCAGAAGACAGTATTTTTTCCTCCACTGTGACCTAACCAGGTCTATTGCAGCATCCTTATAGCTCATAGCCATACCTTGGAAAGTGTGCTATTCCTTACAAAACTGAGAGGTTTCCTTGGATCTGCTTAGGTATGAGGAAGTGGCTTGGTTTGGTGGTTTCATTGGTCCTTTTGTTTTCTAACAAATGATAAACTTTAGAAAACAAAATATTGTATCGGGTTGTCCGGAAAATAATGCAGGATTTTAAGTTTTCATTAAAAAAAATCTATATAAAATATTCTGTTTACGTTTACAGGATTACTCATTTGTATGAATGTCAACACTTATTAATCCTCTTCCAAATGATATTGTTTGTTTACCTCTGTAGCATTCCGCTACTTGGAAATAATTCAGTCATCCTTATAATGTCAAAGCGAGAATTTCGTACGATTTTCTTTTACGAGTTTAAACTCGGCCGAAGCGGAGCCCAAACGGCTAGAAACATTAACCAAGTCTGGGGCGAGGGTTGTGTTAATGAGTGCACTGTGCAAAGGTGGTTTAAAAAATTTCGGGAGGGAGATTTCAGCCTTGAAGATGAAGAAGGTCGTGGAAGGCCTTCCTCTCTTAATGATGATGTTCTGCGATCAGTGGTGGAAGAAAACCCCAAAACAACTGTTCGAGAACTTGCAGAGCAACTCAAAGTCAGTAAAACGACCGTCGCTGACCACCTCAAGGCGATTGGAAAAGTGAAAAAACTCGAAAATTGGGTTCCACACTCATTAAACGATCGCCAAAAAAATCAGCGCTTTGATGTTTGTGCATCACTTCTTTGTCGAAACAAAAATGACCCATTTCTGGCCAGAATTGTTACATGTGACGAAAAGTGGATTCTCTACGATAACACTAGACGTTCTGGACAGTGGCTCGACAAAGGAGAAGCTCCAATACATTTTCCAAAGCCCCCAACTCATCAAAAAAAGGTAATGGTTACGGTATGGTGGGCTTCATTTGGTTTAATACACTACAGCTTCTTAAATCCTGGCGAAACCATCAATGCTGAATCATACTGTAACCAAATTAATACCATGCATCAGAAATTGGCAGTAATGAAGCCCTCTTTGGTCAATCGGAAAGGGCCCATTTTGTTGCATGACAACGCTCGACCACATGTGTCACGTGTAACGTCACAAAAATTATTGGAGCTTGGCTATGAAACTTTGCCTCACCCACCCTACTCTCCGGACCTCTCGCCTACTGACTACCATGTTTTTAGACACCTGGACCACTACTTACAACACATAATATTCAAAAATCAAACGGAACTGGAAAATGCATTTATTGACTTTATCAATTCTAAAAATTCTGAATTCTACTCAGACGGAATTAATAAGTTACCAACACGTTGGGAGAAATGTATTGAGAGCATGGGAAATTATTTTGATTAAAGAACATTGCTTTAAAGTAACTAGTTTCTTTTTTTTTGTTTAATACCAAAATCCTGCATTATTTTCCGGACAACCCAATACATGAATATATCCAGTATTGGGGAATATGACGATCCACACATTGAAAAAAAATATTGTAATATTATTGAAGATAACTTATTTTTTACCAAACAAAAGAACATTCCATTCAGTAAAAATATTTAATATAAAAAGGCAAAGATCAGTTGATTCCTTGCTTTTTCTTAAGTAACGTTTTTTTAAGTATTAACATATTAAATTATTTCAATATAATACCATTAATTAAGGATTTTAGTTGAGATAAAAAAGTCAATGGCACGAGCGGGATTTGAACCCACGATCTTCAGGTAGATACGCCGCTGCTCTACCACTTGAGCTATCGTGACCTCGATCCACTCGGACACCAACTTCCCATCTCAACCCCACCTTACGAATTTTCCCTCCTTTTTGCCATTTTTCAAATGTCGTTTAATCGGATTGGATTCTCGACGGCAAATGAAATGGCCACGGAGAGTTTTAATGAAGTATACTTAATTTTAAATCATTAAATTCACTAATTTCGCTGTCCGCTTGACCAATTAATATATTACAATTAATTAAGGTTTTTAGTTGAGATAAAAAAGTCAATGGCACGAGCGGGATTCAAACCACGATCTTCGGCTTGATACGCCGCTGCTCAACCAATTGAGCTATCGTGACCTCGATCCACCCGGACACTGACTTCCCATCTCAACCACACCTTTTTTAATTTTCCCCTCCTTTTTGCCATTTTTAAATATAATGTTTAGAAACAGTATTACTTCAAATCAATATGGTTTTAATTCACTAAGACCTACATTACATAACTTACAATATTTCAAGACTAAATTGTAATATCTTTTTCTGAAGGAACAAGTTGATTGCATTTACATTAAATTTTCAATTTTTTTTTAAATATATTGTTGATCATACCATTCTACTGTAACACTACATGTCACATAAATGGAAAAAAAGCTTTTTCATGGAGGTGGTATTAAGAAAGCGGGGCAAGGGTGGCAAAGGTCCTCAAACGTTCGGGTGGTTCAGGAAGCGGAGGAGAGCCAGCGAAAAGGACAGCAGGGGCCCAGCCGGTGAGGACAGGTGTGGAGCGGTTGCGACACGACGGGGAAGACTCAAGCAAGAGACGAAAAAGAAAATCGGTTTTCTTGAGATTTGTGGTGGTTTTTGCCGGGTTGCGGGACTACAGGAAACTCGAGAGAATTCAAGAAAACCAACAGGAAATCGAAGAAATCGCCGAGGAGCTCCACGGGATCCCGAGCGTCAAGTGCGACAGTAACAACCAGGCCAGACTATTATTTAGTTTTTTTTATAAGTGCATTTTTGGTTTCGGTTTTTCGATTAATAAGAGATATATCTTTTTTTCTTGTAATTTTTGTAAGTTGGTCAACAGGAAATTTCGAATGAGTTGTTAATTTTTCTTTCTTTATTTACTTATTGAATAGAAGTTTTCTTGTTCATTTTGTTTTATTTTATTTTTGTAAATTATACTTAAGCTTGATTGCCTTTGGTCGTCTACTAGGGTCACTATTCCCTGAGGGGAAAAATAGTGTGGCGCCCGAACTATATATCCGTTTGAACAGTCCCCCCAACTCTTCCACGGAGCTGCCGGCACCCACAATTCGGTTGGGTTGTCACGAAACCCGTGACACTACTATAGAAATTACAGCAATTAAGCATACATGCTGGTTTGCATCCTATTTAAAAAGTTGAATGCTTAAAGTAAAATTAAAATTGGTGACTTAACATAGTTGATAACAACTTTTCTCTTTGATACCAGCAACAAAGTGGCAAATACAATTTTTATTGTAATAAAAGTACAATGCTCCACAAAAAAAAAGTGGTGCACTTTGAAATTTTCATATTTTTTTGTGCACTTGTCGTTTCAGTAATATTAACACCGATATTTTTATAATTCAGGTATTTATTAAAACAATTGGTTAGTGGGAAAATCTCTCTCTTTCTCTCTCTCTCAAAAAAAAAAAAATTGTTTTTGTGAATCAACATAAAACATTATTACATTAAAATTAATTAAGGTTTTTAGTTGAGATAAAAAAGTCAATGGCACGAGCGGGATTCGAACCCCATTCAAAAAATGGCAAAAAGGAGGGAAAACTCAAAAGGTGGGGTTGAGATAGGAAGTTGATATCCGAATGGTTCGAGGTCACGATAGCTCAAGTGGTAGAGTAGCGGCGTATCTAGCCGAAGATCGTGGATTCGAATCCCGCTCGTGCCATTGACTTTTTTACCTCAACTAAAAAAAACCTTAATTAATTGTAATATATTAATTGGTCAAGCGGACCACGAATTAGTGAATAAAACATTATAAAACCAACTTAACAATCTTTAATAGGAAGAGAGTAATTAGCTCCTCTTGCTCATATTATACACTCAAAACTTCTCAAGATGCTTATAATTAAGCCATTAACCACTTTTTGAGGAATTTCATCCCAAATCTCAACTAACCTAAGTTTCAGCTCAGCTAAGGCTGTAGGAGGTTTTTTTTTCTTCATTTTTTTTTTTTTTTCATTTTACCAATGAAGAGCTCATCTCAAAAGTACTTTATAGGGTTCAAATCAGGAAATGGGCTGGGCGGTCTTAGGGTGTAATTGTTGACATTTCACAGGTACTGCATAAAACTGGTGGCGACAGTTTGTCTTGCATTATCTTGCATTAACAAACATTGCTCACCAATAAACAGAGCAAGTGGTACCATATATTCCTCAAGAATTTCTGCATTAAGCGAAGGACTGTTAAAAACGTGTAACTCCATTTTTGCCTACAAAGAAAGTCCACTCCACAGTATAACTGAACCAACTCCGAACAACCCTCATCCAGCAATGTTCATTGGCTGTAGAGCTCTACAGCTGCTCGATAAACTCGAAGACATCCATCTGGTGAATTAAGAGAAAAATGGGACTTGTCCTAAAGCATAACATTTCTTCATTATAATTTCCGCCTGATATCGGTGTCCCTTGCAAAATCTAAGAGGTCCCAATGAGATTTTAAATCAAATATGAATTAAGCTGATTGGCACAATATCAGCGACAAAAACAAATACTGTCTGTCTAATGATAATTGTTAAATCATTTTTAAAATATTAAAACAAAAAATATGGCCAAAACATTGTCAAATTAAAAAATAAATCAAAACTCCGTAGGGCGATACTTTTTTTATGGATCAGTGTATATTTATCCATTGTTAATGTCTCTGAACACTTGTACACATGTGAGCATACACAATACCACAATGATTTAATGTAATGGGTCATTAAAAAAATTGATTCAAAATTAATTTTATTTCACACCATACAATAATACTGTTAATAAATTTCAAAAAATGAAAACATAAAAAAATGTAAAATAACTACATTACTTGATCAAAAATTATTACAATTGAAAGCTTTTATTTGTTAATCATATCTTCCTCCGTTGGAGGATCTTTGGAATAAATAGCTCATTTGAACGAAAAACTTCAAATAATTCACACTGGCTGGGTTTCCAGGGCGTTTTGGAGATACAGTGCACACCTTTGGTAACCGAACTGTGATAATAAAAGGAACATAGATTCTTAAAAAACATAATGAACATATTAAGGAATAAATAACTATATACAATATACAACACAAAATTACTGGAGGCAGTCTTAAAATAAAATGTATTAGATAACAATAAAAATATCTGAGTTTGTAAAAAATAAAAATAGATGAAAAAGAGTAAGGTAGAGAAAAAATCAACCTAAACCGACTTTGGTCCCTGAAAGTTAGAATTTACAGCCAGAAAAATGGCATTTTGCAAGAGAATGAATATAAATGACTACATTTACAAAAGTCGATTTTGGTACTTGCTGTAAAATCCTTAATTTGGATTCACTTATAATTATTCTGGTAAGTTAATATACACACGCTTATTTTAAGGAAAAATTGCCAACTTGCTATGAAGTAGTACACATTTTTACAACACAATGAATATAAAGTCCATTCTTATAGTTTAAAAATGTTAATGTTGTTTAACGACACATATACAGAGAAAAAAACAGTTTTAAATTTATATATACAAAATATGTACTTTTTAATAACAAACATTTAAAAACATTACCTTAATAAATTATTTTTTATATATTTCAAATACAACTAATTATAATTAGTTGATAAATCTTCACTCGGGGGGTGGCTGGTTATTGTTAAATATCAAATAAAAAGAATGTTTATCATGATTTGAAATCAGAGTTCGCCTAAATCATATTTCTATTTGTATCGTTATTCAAATTGCATTCTGGACAAAGAAAAAAAGTCAGTCTTGTCTGTTGCCAAATATTTACAATTTTTTTTTTTACAAATAGATCTAACACAGCGTCTCGATAGCTTTCGTCGATGTGTTAGTTATTGAAGTGTTTTGGTCGTTGAGCGATGGCAGGGCATGGGAAGACGAAGACCTGACGTTGTGGTTGTCATTCGGCGACCCGGACATGCACCAGAGGCGCTTCACTCCTGCCCAGACCTATAACGAAAAAAATTATAATTGGTAAGCTTTAAAATAAAAATCAATTAAATAAACTGGCTTACCTGAGGTTGACATCCGACAACTGCAAATATAAGAACGCCTTGCAGGGCGTTGATGATGTCGGTGAGATACCAGATATAGTCAGGACCACCGACAGCCCAAGAAACTACATCTGCAACCCATGTCACACCCATCACGACCACCAATTTCAGACACACTCTTCCTAATGCAGCTCTAAATAATAATTCAATAAATTAAAAAATGTTAAGAAGAAATTTTTAGTTTTCAAGATGGTCTCATGTCAAATTACCTTTCAGTGTTCGACTTGACGACCTCGGTTTTCCAGAGGCCGCAGGTCAGCTCACGTGCAGTTGCAGCAAACAGGGTTAAATTCAACAGCAGCAAAACTCCAATAGGGCCGAAAAAATAGTACAGCAGTTCAGCATCGCCTGAAATTAATTAATGTAAAAAATTATTTAAAAATTTCAAATGTTTTCAAGCTGTACTAATAGATTGAGCCTGTAATAATGTACTAAAATTATACTCATTAGAAAATAATATAATTTGTCTTTAGTTGAAATCGGTAAACTTAAGATTTGTTGAGGTATGAAATTATTTGTCATTGATTACGAATGTTTATAAAACTTTCTATGCAATGTTAGTCAATGTTTCTACTTTTGTCATAGTGGGAATAAAAAACTATTTTTGCTGATCAAAGGGGTTTTATTTTCGTGTAAAGAGAGTGGGAGTCGCTTTGAATAAGTTTACTTGTACTATATCATGAAAATCTATGTTTTTTAGGAAGTACAAAGTTAAACATTTTTTTAGTAAAAAAAAATTGACAAAATTATTAGTCAAATAAAATAATATAGTATTATAATTCACGTTCTGATTAAAAGTAAATTGAGCCAGCCGACTCATAACTTAGGTGCTAGATGGGTACGTACAAAGGAATTTAAAAGACGGCATTTCTGTTGGTGGTATGCCTTCAATAGCTCAATACATTTCAAAAATAGCGAGTCAATTGTAAAAATAATTCAGGAATATAAACAAATGATTACATAACAAAAAACCAGTTAGTTGGTCAATTAGAATTCAAAATTACCTTTTCATAAAAAAGCAATTCACCAAAAAGAGAGATATTTTTAGATGAATTTTGATTAAAAAGTACATGCTGAGAAGGAAATAGCTTATTACAACAAACGCTGTTATTGATGAGGCTAATAAATTATAAAATATAGCCCACATAGCCATTTTTTTTCTGTAATAATCAATGCATATCGCATATTCATTGTATGAGGTAAGAAGGTTTTTTTTTTTAAATAACTTATTTGAAGCCTTTAAATTTAAAAATGCATATTAAAAATTTTGTGTGTGTTTTTTTCTTAAGTTCAATATGATATATACTCAGGGGCACAGGTTAACAAAAACAAGCCAATACAAACAATATCTGAGATTGAGGGGCGAATGGGTATCGAGGCCATCGTCTATTAAGGCGACATGGCGTTTCACAGGATGGGAAAATAAGGCTTGAGCAATATGATTCTTTGACAAAAATAATATTGACGTCATTGTGCACAGTGAGGTTGGTGATGTATTAAAGAGCTTTGACTATTTTTCTGAAGGCTTTTAACTGGAAGGATTTGGATGGTTTTGCCCTCACAGTTCCGTTTGTATGCCCACAGAGGGCTCAGTAATGTCTTCTATAAAATAAGTAGAGTTTGTCAGTCAAAACAGATTTCAGTACTAAAATTTTTGTCAAAACTGTTGTCCGAGTTTTCTGTAGAGTTCTTTTCTCTTAGGTTGCGTGGGGATTCGATATCTGCTATCCTTAATGACTTGAGTGGAAATTGATAGTTTCTTGTTGTAGATGTAAAGTGGAGGGCAAGTTTTTTTTTTCCTTTTCAATTTACATATAAACTGGGTGCATTTTTCTTCATTCAATCCTTTCGTCCAGCTTTTGCACCAGTCTTTGACAAACTTAAGGTGTTCTTGGGATGTTGAAGGTTGCTTGGACAGGATTCCGGTTAGAAGAATTGCGGTGTCATATGCATAGGTAAGTGTTGGAATGTATGGGAAAGTCGGCTGTATAAATGGTATAAAGGAGGGGACTAAAAGTGCGCCCTTGTGAGATGCGTCAGATACATACAATAGACCCTATGGTAAGTTAAGGGATGGGTAAGTAACAACAATGTTTGGGTAAACTAGCCAAAAATATAAGCACAAATTATAAATGGAAAAACTACGCACTGTTAGCGCTTTTTATATAGACAGACATTAATAGTTTGATCATCTTGATATCGCACTGTTAGAAACATTTCCCTACGGAGGATAAAGATTATCATCCATAATTTTCTACCAATACAAGAGTTTTTAACGAACCATAAAAACCTGACTCTTTGCTTATTTAACAATGTCTACAGAAAGATTTATAAAGATTTGAACAGCAAAACGCTGACGTTGTGGCACTATTTTCTGTTCAATCCATGACTAATAATGTTCAGTTTGGTTTTCCCATCAAAATCAGCTCAATTATATTTGGACGTGCTGAGTAAAATGCTCAAGAAATTCTGAAACACTTCAAGCAACTGGCTTGTTATGCTTTCTTCTGCCAACACGCAAACAGTCACTTATTTCGAAATGACGTTTTCAGTCAAGACTCAGCATAAAATAAATGAACAGAATAAAAAAAAAACCATAAAACAGTTTTTAATAGCGTTATTGTCTCATTCATGGTGGCGTGAAAGCGGATGCGTCCAACCGCAAAAAAAAAATATATATAAAAAATACAGGATATGCGAACCAGAAATGATCAGTAATGATACATCCGCGTGAGTAACGGTGCCGATTGATACACACAATGAGGTTGCAAAAGTTTTTTTATTAACGGTTTTTATCTCATGTAAAAATATGTAAGACATTAAGTACTCAACCGCGCGGATTTGTAACACCACGAAAAAAAAAAAAAAAAAAAAAAAAATTGCATGGCGTAGTATGTGGTGAAAATTTTAAAAATATTAAACTTAATACAATTATTTCACTTTTAACGAATTTTGGTTAAAATGCAAAATATACTAAAAATGATTATGTTGAAACTTTAATCACATGAAATACGTTTATATTGCTCCAGCTATTTCAAGTAAACAATGCGTGAGTGTTGTGTGATGTTTCACGAGTAAACAAATAGACGACAAGACAATGGCCACACGAAAAACCCTAAGAAAATCTTTGCAACTAAAACCAAAAATTAGGCCATAAACGGAAGTAAAAAGACCAGGACATCCTATGGCTCAAACTGGTGGAGTAAAGTAAAACAAAATCAAGCTACCCAAACAACCAGGTAGTGTGCAAAGACTGGCAAATCACAGGGGCAATGAACAAACAGGTTCCATCAAAAGCATTCGGTGAATGCATCTAAAATCTCCAAAAAAAACGCTGGGTAACCACCTGATAATATCTTGGGTGTCAGGGACAAAGAAATTCTGGGCGATGAACAAGCAGACAAATTACAAGAGTATATTATAGACATCGTGACTCTTGAATAAAGAACCCTCGCTAAAACTGCCAAACTCATTGCTACACAGTTACACAGGTTAAAACTCAGGGGAGTAGTAGGGCTCTATATCTGCCATTGGCATCTGAGAAAACAAATCATTGGTATATTCAATGATGATTTATATGGTTATGTAATGAGGTGGAATGAACCCAGGGTATTAAGAAAATCGAAAAAAAAGTATTGCATTAACGATAGTCTCTATCTACTTCTTCTTGAAATAAGGATCGGATCAATTGTACTGAATCAAGGAAGTAGGAAAAGTCAAATAAGCCAGAACACAAAACCCGGTTTCCCGTATCTTCTTATCAGCATCATTATCATGAACCAAAGACTAGCTTAAAAACCACGGAATTTTGTGTTTGACCAGTCTATATTCTAGATAAAGACGATCGCAGTTGGTTGTCACGCAGACAATGAATTGGAGTAGAAACGTCAGATAAACAGCAAAAAAAGAAAAAAAATCGTTTAACAATTTGCTACTGGCAAATAATGGATTACCTTTTGGATTAATGGATGCCCTGAAGAGCAGATTTTTTAAGCACTGTGATATTCTTTAATCGTCCTGGTACGTTTAAATCCCCCATTTGTGGTCAAATTGCTACAATCTTAAGATGTCTGCTTATTGTTTTTCCAACATTCATGAGTTTTTAAGGTTTTAGGAAAAATGAAACGAGAAAATGGAGTTGTTAAACGTAAACAATCAGAAAAGCCTAAAAAATATATTTTGCCCAGGATATCCTAAACAAGGATGATAGCATGACATGCAGACACTGACCGAAGACGAAACATGTCTGACAGAAAAAGTGTAGAAAATTTGGGCAAAAAAATGTTCAAAATTATAAATTCCTCGAATGGTTTCGTTCCTCCAGATTTGTTCAACAAAATGGCAGTCTATGTTCGTCCTGGTCCAATTATCTTCGATGTTTTTATTGGTTATGCTTCAACAATCGATAGTCTGTATATTTTTCTTACTTTTTTGGATGCTGTAGGTTCAAATGATCGTAAAACGGAAGTTAAAGGGACAAAAAAATTTCAAAACCATTTTCTTGTTTTTTCCTTGTTTCAATGTCTTAAATAAGAATGTTCCCATGAGGCGACATGCAGACACTCACCGAAGAAGAAACGTGCCTGACAGAAAAAGCATAGAAAATTTTGGCAAAAAAAGTTGAAAATTATTGATTCCTCTAATGGTTTCTAATGGTTAAACATGTTTGTCCTGGTCTCGATGTGTTATTGGTTATGCTTCCAAAATCGATATTCTGTATATTTTCCTTATTGTTTTTAAATGTTGTAGGTTCAGGTTAAGGTTAAATGGAAGTTAGAAGGAAAGAAAAACCACAAAACCCCAGGATTTCTTGTTTTTTCCTTGTTTCAATGCCTTAAATACGAACATTCGCATGAGTCGACATGCAGACACTCACCCGAAGAAGAAACGGGTCTCTCAGAAAAAGTATAGAAAGATTTTGCCAAACAAATGTTGAAAATAATATATTCTTGTAATGGTCCTTCAGATTCGTTAAAAAATATGGCCGTCCATGTTTGTCCTGGTCCGCTTTTCCTCGTCATTTTATTGGTTATGTTTCAAAATCGATAGTCTATATATTTTTCTTGCTTTTTGAGATGCTGTAGGTTCAGGTTAAGGTTAAATGGATGTTAGAAGGACAGAAAACCATAAAACCACAGGATTTTCGTGTTTTTCCTTTTTTCAATATCTTCAATAAGAATGATCGCATCAGAGACATGCAGGCATTCGCGGAAGAACGTGTCTGTCAGAAAAAATATAGAATGATTTCAAATGTTGAAAATGATATATTCTTTTAATGATCCTGTTCCTTCAGATTTGTTCAACAATACGGCAGTCCATGCTTGTCTTGGTCCGCTTATCCTCGCTGTGCTTATTGGTTATGCCCGTGTGTTTTTCTTGATTTCTTACATTTTGCAGTTGCAGATGAAAGTTAAACGAAAAGAAAAGTAAATTTTCAAAAGTAAACGGCCAGATAAACTCCAAAACCACAGGATTTTCATCTTTAAGAATATCTTTAAATAAGAATGGTTGGAAGAGATTACATGAAAGAAACGTGTGTGAAAGAAAAATACATCAAGAATAGAATCGATACATGTTTAACGATTCTTCTGACGCTCAATAAGGCTTTTTTAATAGCCCACCCTAACTTTTATTATGTCCCAGATGGTCAGATAATTTAAGAGTAAGAGTCGTTTTGTGTATGGAGAATCATAAAAGAAAAAATAAATAAATAGGGGTGGTAGTTATTTTAGGAACAGCATAAACGTTAATTGTATTTGATTTAATCATCTGTCGCAGTATGGAATTTCCGTCTTCACCACCCATTTTCCATTGTCCGGAGAGAGCTCTCGAAATAATAAAGTTATTTCACCCGATTAACAAAAAGTCAAAATAGGGCAAAATGAATAATTAATGAGGCTGAAACATGTCTTCGGGTCGTAGAAGGCGTTCTTCCGCATCCCACGTACCACTTACGCCCCTGTTCCACCCTTGTCATGTTACTCCATTGTTGACTTACCGTAAAACCAACACCTGTGCTCTCCGAACCTGGGCCTGATCAGGTTGTGACCTTTGTCGGGCAGGTGGTCGAAAATCGCGCCGATACCGGCGATAAGGAGTGGACCTCCCCAGGCGTAAAGTTCGTAGATGCGCAGTCTGCACGCCTCCTGACCCTTGTCCAGGCTGGCCGGTCGTAAGTCCCTGAAAAAATCAAAAAGAAGACTTTGTTATCTTGTAAATTCGACCCAAGACAATAATCAAACATTAAGAAATAATTTGGGCCCATCAGTGAAACAAATAAAATTCATTTGACCTCGAATGAACAAGGAAACATAACTATTTTAGTCATTCTTTTATGGGTTTTTTACAAAAGAGATCCTACACTGTTAACCGTTTACTCCTACTCTTTTTAAATATTCTTTTGTTTGTAAAGAATCAGTAATGTTTTCAGAATTAAACATGTCTCGTGTTATTTATGGCTGTTTTTCGCCTACGATGTACTTTTTAAGGAGTAGTGAAACCAATCCTAAATTATACTTTCTGACATCGGTCATTATAAGCCAAACGAAAGAACATGTCTAAACATGGGAATGAGGTAAAACAATATTTCACAGGACCCTTTATCAATACCAAAATCAAAGTTAAAAAATTGGTATTCCTACATACTCTTAAAAGAAATTTGTCAAAGTGCACGTGCCAAAATTTTTATCTAGGAGCTTCAAAAATTCTGTTTATCTCATAATTGTGCAGACAATCATAGCTCACAAAGATAATTCTACAGGTAATTCCATCTACAACCACAATCCTACTTTCCCTCCTGACTGCACAAAACAGGTCTTCCAATGTGTGGATTTCATCGATCATTCGATACATTGATCACAATAAAGGCCTAAATACTTCACTTGTTTCCACATGTAAGGATAATTCTACTGTGTGTGGTCATTAGTGACCGTTAGTCGATGATTATCGTGAGATGCGATCTGGTGTGACGTAGGTTTCAGAAAAATATTTTCTTTATCGGGCCAACGTTTCGATCTTTATTAGATCATCTTCAGGGCCTGGGATTTACAAACATTGTTTAAATTTAACAAATACATGTAGGATGTGGAAAAAGTAAATTTATACAATGAAAAAAATATTTATTATATTCAATCAAAGTATTTCTACTCACTCAAAGTGTATGTTTTCTGCGTAATTATGCCATTATTTGGACAAACACTTTGCGTGAGTAGAAATACTTTGATTGAATATAAAAAATATTTTTTGCATTGTATAAATTCACTTTTTCCACATCCTACATGTATTTGTTAAATTTAAACAATGTTTGTAAATCCCTGAAGATGATCTCAATAAAGATCGAAACTTGGTACGATAAAGAAAATGTTTTTCTGAAACCTACATCACACCAGACCGCATCTCACGATTTCCGAATGATAATTCTACTCTTACTCTTTCTCTCTCTCTCTCTCTCTCTCTCTCTCTCTCTCTCTCTCTCTCTGTCTCATGGAATAATACTTTGTCTTTTACTTTTTTCCAACCCTAAAGACAATTCTACGTTCACTCTAATGTAATACACCTTCTCGACCACTTAATACCGAAACAATTCTTTAAGCAATCAGGGCAACCGACTACCTTATCGATCATTGGATAAACGGATGCCTCACAAGGAAGAATCCTGGGCCCTTTACTCGTTTCCATCTACAACGCTTATTCTTATTTCACTTTAGTATATCGTATGTACTCGAACTCATACTTCACCAAATAGTTCTTAAAATTCTCAGAGTAACTAATTTCTCGATTACTGGATACACCGATCAGAAGTAGGCCTCATAAACCTTTAATTTTTCTCTAAAGACTATTATAATTTCCCTCTAATATACGTACCATATTTATTGGGTCTCCTAAATTCAAGAAAGAGTTTCACAATTAGTCAAAGATTGTAGGGAAGCAGTTATTTTCTAATTTATATGATAATCTGTTAGTCTTTTACATTTTCCGTAGATCAGGGCTTCCCAAACTTGTTAGCCTGCGGACCCCTTTCACAGAACCAAATCCATGGCTGATCCCTCTCATTCATGTATTTTTTTAAATTAGCTAGTCCGTTCCTAATTAGGTGGGATATCACTATTAAATCAAAACATTAGATTGACATACTTAACTTTAAATACAGATTCTGGAGCATAAAAATCAAATTGCAGAACGGAATCATTAAGTATGTCTAAACTCGGGCCAATTTCAAAAGTAATAATTTAATGAATTAGTGGGAAGAGTGAGGTTGTTTTAGCCTGCACAATTTGCATATATTAGTTTTAATTTTTGATAGCTGGAGACGGATGTCCGGTTCAGCAAGTAGACAGCTTTGGTATTTAGTTATAGTGGCTGTATTAATAGAAAATTGGGATTCATATAGGTAAGTTGTGTCAAATGGATGAAGTTTTGCTTTTTCAACGATCGGTTGAAATTTTTTTTTACAGTCGGAGTCAAAAATAGGGGTAAATATCGGACTCGAAAGCAGATTTCAAAGTGGAGTCTGAAGTATGTCTATCAAACATTCGTATTAATTTAAAGATAGACTGGTCGGCTTTGTCAGTACTGAAAACAGTACGACTACCCACTCATGGTCTTGCAGCATTATGTCTTGAGCTGTTGGGAAGTGGTGCTCGAAAAACATCTCCAAATTTTGATATTTCAACAGTCAATGTGCCGTTTGCATGCTCAGTACGTTTTATTTAAAAAACAAATATTTAACACATAAAAACACTCCATCTCATCCTTCTTAACAGATTAAAACCAAAACTGAACTTTTCTTTTGAAGGCGCGAACTTTGTCATTAACATAGAAAGTTGTCTTACCCTTCCCTTGCAAAGAAAAGCTCATCTCATTCATTTTCATGAAAATATCTGATAAATACGACGGTATACATTGCCGTTATTCATTATTGAAAACGTTGGCCACTTTGACATTCTGGTCCATCAAATAGATAAACTTCAGAACCAGAAGAAAATTCCTGTGATCGTGAGACAGCCACCTCACTTCTGTATGGAGAAGCAGGGAATGATGAACGAATTGTGAAAAGTCTTGACTTCAATGGCCGTGACTTTATAAAATTAATAATTCGAACTGATTCATCCAATACTTCTTTAAAAGATGCTCGCATTTGTTTCACAGACAAAGCATGACAGTAGAGAACACAATGACTGATGCAGCAAAATAAAAAAAAAACTTTTAGTACTTATTGTGATTATTTTTTAAATTTTATTTATTGATTTTACGTTTATTTTCATAATTATTAATTTTTCTCGAAGTTCGGCGTGGACCACAGTTTGGGAAGCCTTAGATAAATGTGATCATATGTCTTCTTTTTTCAGTACACGAATTAACCAGATCTGATAAGAAAATTTAAACTTTTTCAACTTGACCTACTGGTGTCTCAAGGTTCTACTTTTGCTTTCATATACTATAAAATCCTGTATCGCTTCTTACACAATCTTGTTGTTCCAGTAAACAAAACTGGTGACAAAAGATTGACTGACAATTACAGACCTATATCCAAAATTTCAATAGTAGCAAAAATATTTGGTAGTATAATATATGATATTTTATCACCTATACTCAAAACTTATATTCCTGATGAGCAACGTGGGTTCCATTCTGGTCGATCATCACTACGAATTTATTAATTTTCCAGTATGATATTCTAGACGGTTTTTCTCAGCACAATCAAATTTTTATTTAATTTTATTTTTGACTTCATAGAAGGAACTTCCTTCATTTATTTCATGTATATTATTCTTAGGGGACACCAGTCCCAGAATAAAGTTATTTTTCTTCTTCTTCTTTTTCTTCTTAAGTTTAAATTTTTATTTAGAAATCGTGAGCTGCGGTCTGATGTGATGTAGGTTTCAGAAAAACATTTTCTTTATCGTGCCAACGTTTCGATTTTTATTGAGATCATCTTCAGGGCTCAAAGTGTTTGTCTTCTGTGTAATTGTGCCATTCTTGCGTGTCGTGTCGAGAGTGCCACTTAAGTTTAAAGTTCCTAATTTTCATTCAAGGTCCTATTTCATGTTAAACATGGTGATTAGGCAAAATTACATTATAAATCAGCCGATCCTAAGAATATTAAGACGAATTTGAGAATATTGATTTGCTTAATACATCTATTATAACCTAAGGAAAGATTTACTAAACTCTAATCAATAATAGTGGAATTTGTTTTATTTATAAAATAATTTTTGGTTTGTTATGTGTTTAGTATATAGTACCAAATGTAATATAATATGTATATTGTATGGTTTTGTTTAGGATACCTACCAGTCTATAGTATTTATCTGCATATACACTACACTAGTTGGGGGATTTACCTGTTATATAAATAAATAATATTCTTGGAGAGTATTTGAAAAAATGTTCAAATATAGCAACAAAATAACTACTAGTTTTCCTAAAGGAAGTATCGTAGGTCATATTATAGTGTCTTTATATTCGACACTATTACCTTCAAGTCGTTTTTCTATCGTTTGACCTCTATCCCACAAGAGGTCATCCTAAACCATATTTTGGGCTCTTTGCCTATAATTTTACACTTTTCTATTTTGTATCGTATTTCCGATTTGGAAAAGTTATAAAACAAATTGAAAAATAAAACGCGTGGTGTTTAGTGACCGTTAGCCAATGATTATTTGGAGATCGTGAGATGCGCTCTGGTGTGACGTAGGTTTTAGAAAAACATTTTCTTTATCGTACCGACGTTTCGATCTTTTTTGAGATCATCTTCAGGGCCTGGGATTTATATTTTTTGCACATCCTACACGTATTTGTAATATTTAAACAACGTTTATAAATCCCAGGCCCTGAAGATGATCTCAAAAAAGATGGCACGATAAAGAAAATGTTTTTCTAAAACCTACGTCACACCAGACCGCATCTCACGATCTCCAAATAATAAAAATAAAGTTGTCAATATTTAAAAAATAATATGCAAAATCTAGATTCCCAATTGTTTACCGATAAAAATTGACTTTTTTTTGTAATTTTTGGACCACTTGGCAATCCGTTTGGAGTTGTAATGGAAACCCTTGTAAAACGGGACAAGAGTCCTCTTTCATTCAACCAGTAACTGGGGCAGGAAACATTCGCCGTCGGAATTCACAATCTCCGTCTATATCGGATTGGAATGAAGCAGCCGTTCCGATATCCCG